CCACCTCCTTGCAGAAGGTGATATCCTCCAATTCCTCCATGGACACAAGGAATTTTGTGCAGCGTGAAGGGAACAAGACCGGCATGCGTGAGCTCAATTTGCCACCCACCTCCACGGTGCAACGCAGGTGCGTGTCCTTCCTACGCACAGCGACTTGTATGTCGCTACCGATGCAAATGTAATCGAAAACATTCACATCGTTGAATAGAAAGGCGGCGTTTACGTAAACGCAGCTCTTGCTGCAATGCGTCGAATATTCACGCATGCTGGTCAATGTGAGCTCGTCGCCTTTGTTTAGCACGACTTCGGCGTCTGGTGGATCCATTAGACCGGTGTATTGCAGGCGTGGACTGAGTTTGGCGAATATAGTGGATGATATTGGAAAGCCGATCTCTTTGGAGAGTTTAAGTTCATTTTCGCGTACACGCAGTATCAAAGCCTGATTTTCGACGACAGTACCGTAAAAGAGGTCCACGGCAAAGCAGCTAATGCCGGCATCTGAATCAATGAGGGAAGACATGTAAATTATACAAGTATATACATATGTATATAGGAATATACGGACAGTCTAAACATGGACATGGCTAAATCGATCTATTGTCTCATCTAAGGATACTATTCCATGGATCAGTTGGACTGAGTACAAAGTTGTTGCCAAAAGTGATTCTGTGTTAGACTTCAAGGCTGAGAAGGAAACACTTCAAACTCAAATCTAAAAATTAATGGTTGTAGTTATTGGTCACACTGATCCATGGAATAGTATCCCATTAACAATTTAAGTCCCCTTCCGATGAATAAAGACCAAACTCCAAAAGTCCCTCATTATTATTGTCCTGCTATATGGTGCGGAGCCATGAACAATGACATCATCTGATGTGTCGGCCTTAGGAGGGTTTGAGAGACAAGTTTTGCGGAAGATTTGTGGTCTTTTGCGACCTGTACGAGATATACGGCGACATTTAAGTAGTTCAGGGAATCAAGAGATAGCGGCTGTAATGGATAGGTCCGTATGAAAAAACACTCTAGCTATGAAGGTTTTCAATTCAGTAGCCGCTTGGAGAGATCAGTTGAAGAAGGGCCTGGCTGCACTTGGTATCTCGGAAAAAGAAGAAGAAACAAGTGTGGTAATAACATCAGAGGATACTATGGACCACGAGTAGCTGTGCAAGCCTCAAATTTTAATCTATCTATATAAGTTAACGTTATATTTATAACCCTATTTATGTCCACTTACGCAAATAGTTAATTATTGTGTCGTCACAATCACTGCATGTCAGTTCAATGCATTTTTTCTTGTCCCCAATGGCACCCTCTTGCGCTTCACTTAATATTTGAAAGCCTTTAAAGTAACCTTGCCACACATCACTTGCCTGCTCCTCGGTAGCTTCCGACTTAGCTGCTGTTACCTCCTCCTCTTCCATTATGTGTTCCAATTCCGCCGATTCGGAACCATCCAAGCTGTCGGATATGGACTTCTCCGTGCTGTAGCTGCGCACGCGTTCAATCCAATCCAGATCCATTTCGTCGACATACTTATCGGTGCCGAGCACATTGGTGAAAATGCTTTGATGTTGTAGGCGCGCCTGCATTTCACGCACATAGTTCAACTTCTCCATATCGGCGGACAGTAGCGTACAGCGCACTTTCTCGCAGATGTTCTTAAAAAGTTCTTCATCATCCATAATGTGCTAAACTTATTGTGTGTTGGTCTGCTAATATTTTTGCGTTGCTTGTACGTTAAATATTATACTAAATTTCAAATCCAGAAAATCAAAATGACATTTCATTTTCATAAATTTTTTTTTTTATTTT